CATTCAGCCAAACTGTGGACCTGTTTTGAAAGAGGATGCTTCATTTGTACCAGGATCAGTGGGAGACACTATCACAAGCTCTACTGCATCCAGAAATGTTCTTTCCACCCAGAAATCTACACTGGTCCCTGCTTTGATTACATTCTCTTTCTTAATATTGGTCTTGGAGCAACGCCAATTGAAAAAAACCTATTGACTTCAATAGGGTTTGAAACTAGCCAAAGATTGTATCTTGCTTAAGTAACAAAGTAGCTTTATGCTCCTTAAAAAGATCTATGGTTAAGTATTGAAACTCCATTTTTTGACCTACTTCTTTTAAAGAACTTCTTTTTTAAGCACTCCCTTCCCAATAATCCACCACTAACAGACTTCAGACATATTGTGAAGGTTTCTTTGAATGTAGCTAGCTACCTTTAAAGAAAAAAGCCCACTTTACTAAGGACAAAGTATTCTGCTTCATTTCAAAATCATTCTAAACCTTAGGGCTGTGTTATCTATTTGTAGCATATGGAAGCAAACTCCCTCAAACTGGAGAAAAAAAATCAATATTTTGCTTTGTTTAATAAAAAAAATCCTTTGTGGTTCTAGACATACAAACACTGGTTTGTTCCAGATTCTATTATTTATTGTATTAAGCACTAGACCAATACATATAAATACACAATTCTTGTTTCAGTGAGTTTAGATTCACTTCTTTGCTATTAACAAATTTAAGGCAACACTACATTTGTAGGCAATCCAGGGATGAAGGATCTGAGCAGCAGTAAAGAGATTACGTAGTCTGAATTTTTTTTAAAAATACATCAGTAAATAGCACTACTCACCACTGGCCCTTCATATAATCGTTTGCAGTTGCTCATTTCCTTTAGATATCGTTGCAGTGAGAGTTGAGGAGGAATTAATAGCAAAGGGTAGTTGTTTGAAATGTATTGGCAGCATACATGGATACTATGATCCTACTCCAAAACCCACGGAAATCAATGGAAAGACTGTCTTGTAAGTCAATATCCTTGCTTTCCTTTTGGGATTTTGTTATTTGGTTCAGAGACCAAACAAGTATCAAATTCTCATTTACACCTCCATAAATCTAATGTAGCTTATTGATTCTGGCAGAGTTACACTAGGTTAATGTCAGATCACAATTTAATCCATGTAACAAGACTTGCTTGGAAGTTCTCTGCACTTTTTTAGTGCTGTATTTTCTGTGGTGACTCCAGATGAAGATGACATCTGTATCTGCTTTTGGGAGCTGAACATCTCACAAGATTCAAACAGCCAAGAAACTGCTTCACCTTTGCAGCATAATTCTCCATTGATCAGATTGATTTTCATAAATTAAGTCCTGTCGTTAGGCTCCAGGATATTTTGGCAGAGAAAACCTCCGCATCATGGCAGATATGTATCACAACACCAAGGACAAATCCACAAAGCTCCCACAGATAGCTGGGAATGCCTTCTCTTTGGAAGTGCATATCATAAAGGCTTAGTAACCTATTCAAGGGAACAAACTTGCCTTATATCACTGTGAATTCATACAGCTGCAAGCCTATATGTGGTAAGTGGTGTCTGACGTGTGACTGAGTGCAGAAGTTTTGGAACAAGAACATATATAATTTAGCAGTAAAAGCAGCAACAGCAGGAGGAGGAGGAGTTCAACTTCAAAGAGAGGCTGATGGTTTGAAAACAAGATAGCTCTTCTGGTAGTAATACATTAGGGAATCCAAATGCAAGAAGGTCTGAGTCCCCAGATGATAGCTGAGTCATTGATTTTCAGAGCTAATGCACCCCCAGTTCATAAAGCTTAGATTCTTTAATCTGAAGTGACATTTTGGAGAGTTCCTGCATCTGAATTCACTGTCCTGGAAGTGAGAGAGCTACATATTTACCTACTAAATATTTCAAAGTTTGTCTGTTTTGTGTGTCTGCCTGTGTGTCTATCTGTCCCCTGGCTGGGGGACATATACCTCTCCTTCAGCTGTGCCCACTGCAGCAGTGAGAGAAGGCTAAGTTTGTGCTCTCTCCCCAGCACAGCCTGCATTCTGAACCCCTCATTCTCAGCCCCACCCCAGAACAATGATTTAAATGAAGAAAAACAAAACTTATTTAAGTTAAACACCCAAGCAATGCCAGGTAAAGCTTTTACAATAGTATAAGTTTACTATATGCAATACTCTCTAACTTTCATTTAAATGAGAAGATCTCTAAAACTAGAGATACGACTGCTAAAAATGTCACCTCATCAAGGGGATGGCATGCTTCCCTGTGCTTTCACCCTGTATAAATTGACTTGGCTCCACAAATTTGGAGTGGGAAAGAATAATCTCCTCCCCAGTCTACATAGCTCTTTCATGGCTTCTGATCTCTCAGGGTTATAGTATCTGCTGACGTCCATGCATTCCCTTATGTGGGGCAGGATGAGGAATGCTATTTGTCACAAATACACTATCTCCCCCAAACACACTTCTGCAGTGATGTAGAAAGAACCCCGATAGTGTATGTCCTCTGCAAGGCCTCCTGAATCCTTGGATAGTAGAAATTCTTCCTTGGATAGTAGAAGTATATAGCCCCTCTGTACATGGTGTCTTCTGTAACTACAAAGGAGGATCCCTTATGAGAATACACAGTATAAATGTTTATTACATTTTGAAGGAAAAAAACTCCTCCACTTTTATTTACCTGCAAAAACCTGAGTTAAGGGCTCTATGTGTTTACTTCTTATAGTTTAGTTGACAGAATGAGAAATAATAATAATACATAGCTCTTATATCATACTTTTACTGATGAAATGCAATGAATGCACATGCTTGTCCCAGGAGTTTCATCTCTTCCTCAGAAAGGGTACGTCTACACTGCATGCTTATTTCGGTATAAGCTATTCCAGAATAGTTATTCCGAAATGGCACATCTACACTGCAGGGAAGCTTCAAAATTAGTCTGAACCAGGCTTTCGTAATGTAGACGTGCTATTTCGATTTAGAATCCCAGGAGGCAATGGGAGGGAATAACTTAGAATGGCCCTGGTGAGGGGCTATTTTGAAATAACTGAAGTGGAGCGTCTAGACATACCTTATTCTGAAATAGCTATTTTCTAATAGGCAAGGGTATGTCTACACTACCACCCTAGTTCGAACTAGGGTGGTAATGTAGGCAACCGGAGTTGCAAATGAAGCCCGGGATTTGATTTTCCCGGTCTTCATTTGCATAAAGCCAGGTGCCACCATTTTTAAATGTCCGCTAGTGCGTACTTCCTGCCACGCGTCTACATGCGGCACGGACTAGGTAGTTCGGACTAGGCTTCCTATTCTGAACTACTGTTACTCCTCGTTTCTCCTAGTCCGTGCTGCGTGTAGCCGCGCGGCATGGAGTCCGCACTAGTGGACATTTAAAAATGGCAGCGCCCGGCTTTATGCAGATGAAGCCCGGGAAATTCAAATCCCGGGCTTCATTTGCAACTCCGGTTGCCTACATTACCACCCTAGTTCAAACTAGGGTGGTAGTGTAGACATACCCCATTATTCCTAGTAGAATGAGGTTTACAGATTTCAGAATAAGCTGACCATTATTTCGAAATTATTTTGAAAAAATGGAATGGCTGGGTTGACGCTTGCATCATTATTTCAAAATAATGCTAGTTATCATATATATAGTAGCCCTATGTCTGTGAGTCTGTAATGCTGAAATGCTGGCTGTTCCCTCTGGGTGGCACTGTTGCCTGATATGCTGGCTGTTCCCTCTGGGCGGCCCATGCTGCATATGGGGAGCGCAGGGCCCAAACGGCCACTTGCTCCCCTGTGACGCCCCGGCTGAGTGGTGCAGAAGTCATCCTAACGCCACGGCAGGAGAGGAAGGGGGTCGGGGTGGTGACGTACACGGCCAGGGGGTCCGTGGGCCCCTTAGTGAGAAGGAGGAGGGGGAGGAGAAGAGAAAGAGACAGAGAGAGGCAGGGGGGT